TGCGGTACCTGACGCTGAGGTGGTGCAAGAAAAAAGTCTGAGGAATTCACTTTATTTCTCCTCCTGTCCAGGAGAACCTCGGCTGGGAGAGTGAAAGACAGCAGGCAGCCGCTGCTCGGCAGTTGGTTTGCTTGTGTTGCTGGTCTCTGCCTTTATTGTACTTTCCTTGCGAGTTCCTGGATGAGGAAATAGGACTCGTTCACATGGCCTAGTATATTATTAAACAAGTTGTGGATCCTCTGCATCTCGGGCACGACGGAAGTGTGTGCAGATCATCCTATCTGCCCATAAACAGGTGTAATACAGTCTTTCTCATTTGCTTGAGTATCCATAAACATGATATTAACTCTTACCTGGGGCAGAGGTTTATCCTTTCTCTGATGTATATCGCTTACCACCACGCGCAGGGCAGACTGTGTGGGTGACATGGATGCTAATTAGTAAAGCGGCTTATTTAGGAAAACCGTTAGGTGAAGCAGAACAAGACACCTTGGATTCCTGTTCGTGTAGTTCATTAAAGGTTGATTTAATCTTTAATTTCTACATTAAAAGGGCAGAAGTATTTCTAAGCATGAAAAGGGCTGTAGGACTAGAGTAGGAATCGAGTTGGTTTTGCTTTGTGGGTTTTCTGTAAGAAGTGTGAATTTTCTTGAGCTTTCAAAAATTAAGCAAGAAGGAGGGACTGGGGTGAAGCAGAAATATAGGTGAACTGTGGAGAAAGATGAAGCAGGTCGGCAGAGTAGGAGAGAAATTTGAGAGGCTCTTTTTTTTTCTTCATCTTATCTTTCTACCCTCCAAAAGAAAAAAACAAAAAGCAGCTTCAGAAAACTAGTGGCAGCTCAGACCAGTGCAGAGGACCCAGGAACACACGTGGCAGTGCCAAAATCTCATCTCAACTCGGCGTGCTACTGCTAGTCTTTGCCAAATGGCCACGCTTGCCAGTAGACAAGGAAAGGAAATCGTGAGACAGAATGATACCCCTGAAAGGGATATTGCAGGAAGGTCTCCTCACTTTCCAAGCCCTGTGTAGTCCAGGTGTCTTGGTCTGGAGAAGAATCATAGAATCATAGACTGGTTTGGATTGGAAGCGACCTTCAAGCTCATCCAGTCCCAACCCCCCTGCCAGCAGCAGGGACACCTTCCACTAGATCAGGTTGCTCAAAGAAGTGCAAAAGATTCTCTTTTCTCTGCAGGATGAGATGTTAGGAGAAAGAACAGTGCATCCTGTTACACCTAGTAAGATAGTCCTCCTGGTAGTAATTACTTTCTCCTGATAGTATCTACTTGGTTTGTGAAATCTCTTTTGCTGTGTTAATTTAGGGAGGAGTCAAATGACAAGTCCTCCGGCTACACAGTAAAACCTAGAGACCGTGGCCTGGTTCCCAAGAGGGTTGTTCCCTACAGGGTATCCTGAAGTGAAAGCAGATTGTGGGAGCAACATCCAGGGCAGTTTCCAGTATGTTTATTTCAAAAGACCATAATTTTTTTAAGAATTGCCTTTCTCTTTCCTTTTGCCACTTTGACCATGTCATTAAACTTCAGATTGATCTTAATAAAATCCTCTTGTGCATATCCTCTGATTCAGGCTTTGGGGATGATTGTGTCAAATGTCTTCCTTGAAATACATTTGGCAGTTGGACTTGATGACTCAGAACTTGAATTATATATTGTGCAGCTCTTTTGTTTTTAACTTGTCTTCATTTCTTTCTTTTCTCCTTTTGCTGTAGATCTTCAGTGTGAGGAAGTGCTTTTGTGACACTGACACATGTAATGCTGAAACATATTTCTGTTAGTGAATGCTTCTATAAATTAAGCTTTGCATCATGATGTTGGTAAAATATTGATTAGGCTGACTGTCTCTGGGAAGTATTTGACTATAGAGATGAGGTAAGACTTGTAGAGGAAGTTAATGTCCTGACTCAGTGGTGGGGGGGGCAG